GATCCCAGCGGACGAGAGGTGACCTATGTGACCTGGCCTGACCCAAAGTGACCGGGGCTGACCCCTTTGACCCGTCTTGACCCCGTATCACCCAAATTTCATCCAACAACGCCCTCAGAACAGTTTCTTTTTAAATTCTCTTCACATTTCCGTCCATATCTATGCTTCTAGACGACACCTCGATTTGAATCGAACACCATCCGAAAGCAAATTGGCTGGTGCCGCAATTTTTTCCTACCACGCAGCAAAGCAAGTGGCGCAGCCGCTTGTCTATATTACTCTTTGTGGTGACGTAGTTTCTGTCTGTTACCGAGGTCGCGACATGGTGCTACGTAGCGCGGGTTACAGGTCACACCGTTGCACCTACCGCGCTGAAGCTTGCGCAACTTATAGAACAAGGATGGACAATGTGCCTTTGATGGGTCTTAGCTCGATCGGATCGATAGCGAGCGCGTGGCGCGTGCCCAAAAAGTGCAAATTCGCGTCATAGACTTTACATGTATAAATCGGCTTGCAAAAACGGGGGAAATGGCTTAATTTGCCCGACACGGGTCCGTTCCCCGTGCAATATCTCGGTAGCCGTGCGCCCGATCGACATGGGGAAAACAGCACCGTGTAGAGAATCGAACGGGCAATCGAATGGTGTGCGGTACAGGGGGTGGCACGCGCCACGTGCACGTGTGAAGGCAATTTCATTTCAAAAAGTGCCGTTTTAAACGGATTTTGGATTTTATTTTATTTTCACGTGACCGTCAGACTGAGAGAGTTAAAACAACGCCTGCTGACAAGAGAAATGTACCGCCTCTCATGGAAAAATTGTGGAAAGCTAATTGATAAAAAACAAGGTGGAACAAATCGCTGGAGAAAATGCTATTTGTCAATAATGTGCCACTAAATAATTACACGGGTTTTGCTGCTTAACCTGATACGTTTGACAATTGAAAATGCTATCATTGGAAAGAGCATTCAATTCTCTCCAAAATCCAATCATCACGTTTGCATGACAAGCAACAGTAGGTATTCTTAAAAATATAAATGTTTCAAACCTCTGCAAATCCATTTTTAGCGAAAATTATCTACGCCTTTCATTTGTCAAAAAACTACGCACCTGAATTATAAAACACATTTGACAGGTTCACTGAACTATTGACAGGTTCTGAAGTAGAAAGCATGCTTATCAGACACGGGCACCTCGATCCGATAGATATTCTTTCCAAACCAAATCATTTAGCCATCAAAAAGCAATCGACCGAAATGGATGGATAACCAAACCGACACAAGAACAACCAAACACCCGTCAATCGAAAATACCCCCTTTTCGCGTTGCGGAGCACGCGGGTCACCTTCTGAATGCTTGAGACGAGGTGTTAGTATCACTGATGTTAGTTGTCGGACTTTCGTCCCCGTCTTGAGTTGAGATGTTAGTTTCACGTTTCGGCCAGTTACTTCTCCGGCCGTCGTCAGGTGTTCTTTGGCCCTTAGAAGGACCTGGATGTTGGTGGCGTTGCGCCGTACGCGTCATACCGTTCGAAAGCTCCTGTAGTCAGCGGGAATCGAACTCGGGTTTCCCCGGTGATAGTCCACGGTTCTAACCACTCCACTATCGAGGCAGACATCGTTATGGAGCTGGAAACTTGGTGTCATTTATCCCCCAGATGTTTTTGTGATTTCCTTAGTAGTGGGAGCCATATTGGGCTGATGTCAACGCTTGGCTTGCTGATGGGGTTGCTAGCCAGCGCCATGTGTGCGGCTTCCTTGATTTTTCTGATTTTCCAGTGTGGCTCCTTGTCGATGATGGTGGTATCATCCCAAGCAGGTCTGTGATCTCCTTCAGACCATGCATGCTCCGCCACACCGGATTTCAGTGTTTCGCCTCGGATGGTGGCCTTCCTTGGAATGGTAGTTGGAGTTGGAATGGTAGTAGGAAGGAATGGTAGTTCGACAACAAACTACCATTCCTTGACGTCCAAGTGGAGAAATCTGAGGAAGCATTCAGAACATCGGTCTACCGCAAACCAACAGCGACCGACCGCTACCTCAACTTCAAGTCACACCACCCAGACACAGTCAAGAAAGGTATCGTAAGATGCCTGCAGACCCGAGCCACCAACATCTGTGGAGACGAAGCAGCCAGAAAGATGGAAATGTCACGCCTTACCAGCACCTTCAGGAGAAACGGATACCCAACGAGCTTCATGAAACACAAACCCAAGGAAGCATCCCAACAACAACCAAGGGATAAGCCAATCGCGACAGTATCCCTCCCATACAACAGAGGACTGTCAGAGAAGCTAAGGCGAATCTGCGGAGCATACAACATCAGGACGGTGTTCAGAAGTACCACCACCCTCCGCAGGTCACTCACAAAGGTCAGACCGCCAACCACCAAGGAGCAAACAAAGAACTGCATATACGACATCCCGTGCAGCTGCGGCAGGTCATACAAGGGCGAGACTGGCCGCCCACTGGCGGTCAGGCTCGAAGAACACAGGAAGGCCACCATCCGAGGCGAAACACTGAAATCCGGTGTGGCGGAGCATGCATGGTCTGAAGGAGATCACAGACCTGCTTGGGATGATACCACCATCATCGACAAGGAGCCACACTGGAAAATCAGAAAAATCAAGGAAGCCGCACACATGGCGCTGGCTAGCAACCCCATCAGCAAGCCAAGCGTTGACATCAGCCCAATATGGCTCCCACTACTAAGGAAATCACAAAAACATCTGGGGGATAAATGACACCAAGTTTCCAGCTCCATAACGATGTCTGCCTCGATAGTGGAGTGGTTAGAACCGTGGACTATCACCGGGGAAACCCGAGTTCGATTCCCGCTGACTACAGGAGCTTTCGAACGGTATGACGCGTACGGCGCAACGCCACCAACATCCAGGTCCTTCTAAGTGCCAAAGAACACCTGACGACGGCCGGAGAAGTAACTGGCCGAAACGTTGTGAAACTAACATCTCAACTCAAGACGGGGACGAAAGTCCGACAACTAACATCCGGGTCACCCTAGTTCACTTCTATTTACGACAAAACACTGAAAATGAATCCCTCTACACGCAACTTGAAATGAAATATCACTTAAACATAAAGAAAAGACCAAAAACCTATTTCAACTACACATCTTTACAAGCTAAGAATGTCTTCTTTATGCCAGAATCGGCATAGCGTATGAACACTGGAAAGGCCCCAATGCATACACAGCTCGCATTACCTAAGAATTCGTGTTCTCTCATCAGGCATATCGTTCGGAAGCTGTGTAATTGCCGACGCAGTGTTAAAATGAGCCAAACAGCTATTCATCAACTGGGCATTTCACCGTGCTGAAACCACGGACGGATACATAAACGTTTATTTATACGGCCGTGGCTGAAACGCATCGATGTTCCCTGATTTTGCATATTATAATGCATTTAATAGGAACAATGAACATGCGATGGCACTCATTCATTTCGCGCAATAAAAAGCATGGGTTCTCAAATCAAAGTGAAGGAAAAGACCGATCAAAATGACTCGTACCTATAATACATACTTTTTTTAAATTATACTCTACACTTTTAGGAGCCGGTGGTCTTATGATGTCCTCTGTTTTTGAATATTTTAATACCAGTTCTGCACATTGCTTGTTTGTTTGTTTGTTTATTCAGTATATTGCCAACGGGATAAGGCCTCCCACTAATAGGCAAAGTCATCCGTATAAAACAATAAATACAAGTCGTAAACAGGATATTACACCACACGCATGATCACACTTTTCATCACCACGGACCTACTGTCATGAAAAAGGTCAACATGGGGACATCGAGCTATAAAATCATTGGCAAGTCGGGGCAGTCGGTAAAACATCCCGTTCTTGACCGAATTTACCCTGGCGACAGGTTCGAAGAAGCTGGCCCGGTAGCGAGTAGTTCTTGATGGCACACGAATGGAAAAACAACTTAAAAGGTACATGGAGTCACATCTACTTCTAATAATACTATATAACAGAGTAATGTCATGCTGTAGCCTGCGAGATGTGAGTGATGGCAGCTTAAACAGCGCTAGCAGTCCGTCATATGAGAGGTCAGACGACATCATCCTGTTCGCAGTACGGTGAACAAGCCATAACAGGAACTTATGTTGTACACGGGGCATTCCACGTCAAATCGAACAAAAATCGGCTGTTTTGCACCTTACCATCAGCGATTTCATTATAAATTTGTGAGCGAGTTCATGTGTGGCCCCGGACATTACATTGATGTTTTTTGCGCATTCTGACCACAGGTCTTCTAAATATAGGGCATCAAATTTTTACAAAATGTTGCATCTGTATATTTTTGAACGACCATAACTTTGGTTGTACTTGTTTGATTTGAATGAAATAAACCTTACTGTTTAGGTAATTTCTTAAGCGTTTGTTTAGAATTGCACCTACTTGAATATATGACCTTGAAATTCGCTTAACTCTGTTCTTAAGCACAAATATTGAAATAGCAAAAAACACGTCACCTTCGATTTGGCTCAGTTTCATATATTTTATTGCCTACCATATTCTTAACAACCTGTGAAAAAAATTAGAGTGGGCCATTCATAAGTTTTGAAGAAAATTGCACATATGCAAACGTATGTTAGCACGCGCAGTGGAGGGGGAAGAGCGAATTTCGCCCACCCCTCCTGTTTTTCGCCAATGATCTCATAAGATTAATGGTAACGTATCGGAGCTCGCGACGATCACGGTACATTAGACGGTCGCGAGGGCTGGACGACAAGCAGCGACATCTACATCCATGCAAGTTTTAGGTCCGTAGGAGGACGATAGATGGCACTAGGTACGTGATGTAGAGATGGTCGCTATATCGCACTTATCAAAAGTGCTTTATGTACTAAGACGCACGTAAGTCAGTTCATAATTTATTAAAATATTAATAATAATAATATGTATCTGGATAAATAACGTTATGGGTAAACCCCGCATCGCATCAGGAATACTGCAGGAATTTGGCCACCTCTTGGGTAGCCATCTTCCATCTTCCTTTACGAGTGCGAAGCACAAGCGATTTAGCGATTTGCAAACATGTATTTTCACGCCTTGATCACTACAACTGCCTCACCTGCCGCTGCAGGATGGTGCGTCGCCGGAAACAACCAGGTATTTTACCCTTTTGTAATTATTCAAGGACAACTAACGGTATGGCATCTGTGAAGGCGCGCCATTTTCGCCGCACGTCCAGTGCGATCGTACACGGGGCCCCACTCGGGGGTCTATTTGCTCTTACTAGCCCCTCTTCCTGCGTCGCAACCACAGCTCTCACTTACATGGCTCCTGCCTTTACATGGCTAACATCTCGCCTCTATGCAACAATGTCTGTGTTTGCCACCTGGGTTTTTCTCATGGGGTTGTTTGTGTTGATATACTTTATCACAGGTTTATCTGGGACAGTAAGGCATCGGTGGTTTAGTGGTAGAATGCTCGCCTGCCACGCAGGAGGTCCCGGGTTCGATTCCCAGCAGATAAGTTTTATTTATGGTCCGCCTACTTCTCACACGCTGACCACCCCCTCGCCCTTGATTAGCCAGCCCTGCACTGGCACCAATGACAGTTGTATCTTTTAATACGCCTCTCCCTTACAAACTACCAACGCCATACCGACCCTTACACAAGGTGGTTGCCCGGCCCGCTAACCTCATGCCCTCTGCCCGCTACAGATGCCCTTGCTGCCTGGCCCGCTGGCCAGACCTCATGCCTCAGCCCGCTGGCTGCCCTTGTTGTAGGCCCGCTGGCCAGACCTCTTGCCTCAGCCCGCTGGCTGCCCTTGTTGTAGGCCCGCTGGCCAGACCTCTTGCCTCAGCCCGCTGGCTGCCCTTGTTGTAGGCCCGCTGGCCAGACCTCTTGCCTCAGCCCGCTGGCTGCCCTTGTTGTAGGCCCGCTGGCCGAACTCATGCCCTCAGCCCGCTGGCTGCCCTTGTTGTAGGCCCGCTGGCCAGACCTCACGCCCTCAGCGCGCTGGCTGCCCTCGTTGTAGGCCCGCTGGCCAGAACTCATGCCCTCAGCCAGATGGCTGCCCTTGTTGTAGGGCCGCTGGCCAGACCTCTTGCCCTCAGACAGATGGCTGCCCTTGCTGCCCAGCCCGCTGGCCGGAGTGCATGCCCCCTCAGCCCGCCGGCTGCCCTTGCTGCCCGGCCCGCTGGCCAATCTCATGCCCTCAGCCCGCTGGCTGCCCCGACTGCCTGGCCCGCTGGCCAGTACACCTTGTGTCCCTCAGCCCGCTGGCAATTATTAAAAGCCGGCTTACATTCAGACAAACCGAAGACCCTTAAAGGGACACTCCCACCTTAACATTAGTTTTGAGTTGAGATAGCCAAATTGGTGGCCATGGCCTGCAAATACCGGTTTGGGCACTCACAACATCGACAAATGCTTTAATTCGGAGATATGGAATTTCAAACTTGCAGTTTTCGGATTCTAAGGGGCTAGTGCATTGGTATGCCCCCTTAGAATTTGTGACGTCAGCGGAGATCTAACGATTTTTAAATCTTTTACTAAAACGTTTGGTAGCACGCGGTGGTATATGCTGCTTTGCGCGCAACAAATGCCGCACTTTCAAATAAAGTCGCTAGGAACAGCGGAGATCCCAAAAAGTAAACAAAAGTAAAAGTCTAATATCTTGAAAACCGGTGAATATTTTTCGATGAACTTTGGTAGATATTCGTTTTCGCTCTTTCTGAACCGAGCGACATCACTTTCGTGCCAATTCATTAACTTTTTTGAAGGTGGGAGGGTCCCTTTAAATCCAAGAGCATACTACTACAATCGCAAATAGTTATGAGATCTAGGTACACAATACCATCAATTTGCATATCAACATTGCTTGATGAGCCCGAGCAAGATAGCCAACATGTTCACTCAGTACTGAGTAGGTGTCTTACCTAACCTCCTTTCAACGCTTTGGAAAGAATCTTAAATAAATAAATAAACGAATAAATGAATCCAATAAAACAGATCAACAGATGATGACTAAACTTCCCTCTTTTCTCTAGTTTGCATATGGTTTGGTTTCATACGTTTTCAGGTAATATGGTTTGCTTTAATGCGCCGAACAAGCAGCTAAACATCTGTGTTAGTTACTTTGTGCTAATATCGAGAAATTGATTCTAACACGTTTCAGTTGTAAGCACTCCGCAACAGCGTGAGAACAGTGGTTTAGCGACCTATGTTCCCAGCACAAAGTTCTTCTGACTGACAGAACAAATTTTGGGAATTTTGAAGAAAATAAAAAGAAGAATTTCGAAGGTTTGGTGACACAGGAATGTTCAATCACATACCAGGCATCACCAGGTAGTTGGTTGTTGTGTCCTGTGTGCGTTTTCAGCAGCATTCGCTGTGATAATAAGCAGCAGCTAACTAACATTTGTCATTTTAATAGTGGGAAGGTCCACAGAACAAAGTTTCTACGTTTCCAAAACACGGTGAAGCAGGCCATTTCTGACACTGCTCCGCAATGGTAACAGCAGCCCTCATAACAGATTTACCGACTCATGTTCACAGTTATTTCTTCACCCCCCCCCCCATCGCTCATTCCACTCAACACCCTGAACACGGCCATCTCGATGGGCCGTTGCCCCGGCCCGCTGGCTGACCTTAGTGCCCCAGACCGTTTGCTGACCCATCGCCCCAGCACGCTGATCGAACTCGGCCTGCTAGCTCACCTCGTCGCTTTAACAGCTGGACGATCTCGCTGCCCCAGCCTTGCTGACCGAGCTCGGTCGCCCATGTCCCCTACACCTCTCACTGCAGCCCGCCGGCTGACCTCGCCACCCCGATCACTACTTACAGGCCGGCAACAGACACGGCCAGTCTCTTCGTCCGCTGCACCGCAGGCAGCGCTGGCACCGCGCCCTCCCGCCGACCCCGGACCAGCCAGTCTCGGCACACCAGCACAAGACGTCGCTACGGATATCAGCTCGGACAGCCCGGAGGCAACGCCTCCTCGACGCTCGGTGACGCCGTCACGAGCAACCAGCCACACCCGCCGCCAAGGACCGGCCAGGACCGCCGATCGCACAGCCCGCCGATCGGCCAGCCCGGAGGGCACCGCCGCCCGGCACGGGGCGGAGTCGTACCGCGGTTCCAGCCGCGAACACCGACACAGGTCGGAAAAACGCTCAGCGAAGCGGCGCCACTGCTCCACCAGAGAGGCTTCAAGATACCGACGACGCCGCTCACCGTCCCTGCGAACGTCGGACTCCGACTGGACCGAGTCTGACACGCCGTCCGACTCTTCGTCCGACCACGGTCGGGTGTCGAGGTCACGGAAGCGCTCCAAGACTCAAGGTCGACAGCCCATCACGGACTTCCTGGACATGAGTATCGTGCCCCGGCGGTCTCAGCAGCCCCCACCGCCTAGAGGCCTAAAGCTGCCGACGGTCAGCGCCACAGCCCTCAAGACACTGGCCGACCGCAGCAAGGTGGCCTCAGTAGAGGCGGTGGTGTTCCCGCACGCGCCATCGGACGGACCGCGGGGAGCTGCGCCGACGCGATACCCGCCGCTGAGCCCGGCGGCCTACATGCGGGGTGTCACCACCATCGCCGCATATAGAACGTACTTCTTTCCAGCCGCGGCGGTGCAATGGGCAACATACCTACTCTGGATCCAGAGCCGGGGTGAGAGCCTGCCCACAAGCGCGCTGCGCGACCTAGATGAGCGAGCCCGCACACACATGGCCACATACGGGGACGACTACCATGACGCTGCGTCCTTAACGGAGAGCACGGGATTGGCCGGCGGCCTCCCGCCACCCGCCGCCCCAACGGCCGCCGCCAGCAGCCGTTACGCCGGACCCGCCGCACAGCGCCCAGGGGGCGCCCCAAACGAACTGTGCCTCCGCTACAACGGAGCCGGCTGCTACAGCGGGGGCACGTGCAAGCGCCAGCACGCCTGCACCATCTGCCGCGGCCCGCACCCAGCCCGACAGTGCCTGATGGCGGCCCCGGGCCAGCCAGGGTCCATCCCCCATCGGCCCGCGCTGACCGGGCCGAGACAGCAGAAGTCTCGCTGGCACTAAACCCAGACGCGGTAAGCTCCGACATCGCCGCCGTCGGCCCAATTGACTCGTCTCCCCCACCCCCCACCACACCCATCGATGTCTCCGCGCTGCGGCAACTCGCCACCCCGGATGTTCCCTCCATTTTGTTGCACCCGGTGCTCGACCGCCTTGAGCATGGCGCCGACATCGGCTACACCGGTCCCCCCGTCTCCACTTCCCGCCCCAATAACGCATCGGCCCGCGCCAACCCCACTGCCGTAACCGCCGCCCTAGAAGCAGAACTCGCCAGGGGACACACCATGGGCCCCTTCCCAACGCCACCTATGACTCCTTTCCGTTGCAACCCTCTCGGAGCCCGAGTGAAACCTGATGGCACCGTGCGTTTGATTCTCGACTTATCCCAGCCGGAGGGCCTGAGTGTCAACGCCCACATCGACAAAGATGCCTTCACCGTGCAGTACACATCGATGGATGAAGCCATCCAGCACATCTACGCACAAGGGCCCCGCGGTGCCCTGCTCGCAAAAGCCGACCTCAAACACGCCTTCCGCCTGATCCCGGTCCTCCCATCTCAGCGCTGGCTGCTTGGGTTTCAATGGAATTCAACATTCATTTGGTGTGTTTGGCGTCTTTCAGTTAACAAAGGAGAATGGAACATCACTGAGCAAGCGGGGAAAGGAGTTGAGACCGGTTTTACGGCAAAAATAATAATACACTGCGCAACGGGAGGCAACACGGCAATACGGAACTACTATTTGGCAAAGCGACATTCGGCTAATGGTAACGTATCGGAGCTCGCGACGATCACGGTACATTAGACGGTCGCGAGGGCTGGACGACAAGCAGCGACATCTACATCCATGCAAGTTTTAGGTCCGTAGGAGGACGATAGATGGCACTAGGTACGTGATGTAGAGATGGTCGCTATATCGCACTTATCAAAAGTGCTTTATGTACTAAGACGCACGTAAGTCAGTTCATAATTTATTAAAATATTAATAATAATAATATGTATCTGGATAAATAACGTTATGGGTAAACCCCGCATCGCATCAGGAATTTGGCCACCTCTTGGGTAGCCATCTTCCATCTTCCTTTACGAGTGCGAAGCACAAGCGATTTCCACCCGCCCACCCCACATCTCCCCTTTGTCTCCTCCTTTCGCCACTCGCTCAGTCTTTCAGGTCTTTCAGCTAAGTCTTTCAGTTAACAAAGGAGAATGGAACATCACTGAGCAAGCGGGGAAAGGAGTTGAGACCGGTTTTACGGCAAAAATAATAATACACTGCGCAACGGGAGGCAACACGGCAATACGGAACTACTATTTGGCAAAGCGACATTCGGCTAATGCGAAATTAATTATGGCTACCTGTCAAGAATTGAATTGGACATCTCATCGTGCAAGCAATAAGAAAATCGGTTCACAACTGTTCTAGTAATAGCGGTGTAAAGTGAACATCCTGTCGCCGCAGCGGAGATCAAGGACGTGCTACACCATCCACCCGGAACCGGAGGAGGTCCGGGAGACCGCCGTGGTGGCGGCCCTGGCGGCGGCCGCCAGAGGCGCCCAGAGCCGACAGGCTACACTTCATTAGAAGCGGAGGGAAGAACAACAACAACAACGCGGCGACTCGGCAGCCGGCGCCGACCGCTACGCGCCGCCTGAATTGTAGACTGTGCCGGGACGGAACGGAACGGTTCCGTCTTTACATCGCGCTCCCTACCGCTGATTACGTTCGATTCGCGTCAAATTTTGTGAGAAGACTAAGAAATGTACAGGCAATCATATGGTGAAAGAATTTTGAAAATCGGTTGGTAAACAATTGACATATGAACGTGTAAACACAAAATTATGATTGCTGCGTTTCCCACATCGGCCGAGCCCGCCTCAGCCGGCGACATGTTACTCTTAGCAGGCCTCTAACTGCCATATTTATTATTGGATTAACTAGAAATTCCCCATACATACTAAAAAATGTATGTTCTTTCGTATAGTGAAGATCAAAAGACGTAAAGATATCGTTGCTTGATAATGTTTTCGTTGAATTTACTTCATGATGCATTTCCACACGGCTCAAAATTCACCGCAAAATACCGTTTGCACTTTGCCTGAGACACTTTTACTATATAACGTGAATGCTTGACTACGATGACTATGCATTTCCATTCTCGCAGAGTTTGGGATATCACTAATCAGCAATCATTCATTTCAGAAAGTGTACACAAGCAAGCATGTCTTGACTCTGTCTTTCAAGGTCACGCGCGGTTGCGTGATGTTGATGCATGAAAACGGCGTTTGCCGCGAAAGTTATGAATGGCCCACTCCAATTTTTTCACAGATGGTTAGGAACATTGTGACGGACATAATATGTAAAAATTACCCAAATCGAAGGTGACGTGTTTTTTGCTATTTAAATTTTTCTGTTTTAATTCAAGGTCAAATGCATTTCAAGGTCACTTCAATTTAATTTGACAATTAAAAATCAAAGCCTTATCAATTGCCTATAAGACCCTGTTAATATCATTTTGATACCAGAAAAGGAACCAGAGTTATAGCCATTTAAAAAATTGATGTGTGGCATTTTTCGCTATATTCGATGACCTATATCTCAGCGATACGTTATCAAATTTCGAAAATATTATACGTAACTCAGTTTTGAACCATGCCCAGTCTGCCTACAAATTTTCAGAAAAATCGAAGGGGATGACGGATTTCGGTGTTTGATTTGACGTGGAATGCCCCACACGCTCTATCCTGTCCAGATGTGTTTTTGCCGCGCCTGACCAGATCTGGGATCCAAATTCTAAGACAGAACGGACGTTAGCAAAGTATGCGGCCATGACGGCCCCTTCGTTCAACTGCCCATTCTTTCCATGACAAAACTGAAACGATCGCATGAGCACTCCCAAAGCACGGCGAGCCTTAGAAACGATGAAATCGACGTGTGCGTTGAAGGTCAGTTTGCTGTCTAAAAGCACACCAAGGTCGCGCATTGTGTCTACTTTTTCTAAAACTGTTCCATCGACGGTGTATACATATCGCACAGGGTTTCGTTTAAGCGTGACCGACATGGTTTTGCACTTTGATGCATTAAGAGACAGTTTCCATGTTTCGGCCCAATCTGAGATACGGTTCAGGTCATCCTGGAGAAGGATGCAGTCGTTGTGCGACCGCACATGTCTAAACAGCTTTAAGTCGTCAGCATACATGAGTGAATGGGATTCGATGACAGATGGTAAGTAGAGGTGGCAAAATGTGGACCCGGGGACCCGGTCTATGGAACCGGTCTGGACCCGGATGGGTCCAGACCGGGTCCCCCAAAATATTTGGCCGGGTCCAACCGGGTCCTATCATTCCCCTGTGCTTTATGGTAAATGTTAATATCTTTTATGCTTTGGCAAACATAGTTGATGCAGTTTCCAGTTCATAAGTCCCAATTCCACTTTTTAATTTTAATATTCCTGCAGATTGGGCTACCTATTCTATAGCATACTGGTCAGTCTTGCTTCAATTTCTTATCTTGTCACCTACAACAGAATAAACAAGTTCTAAGTGCTAGCAATCCAGAAAACGTTTCACCAAATGTTTGTACGGATCACTTCCATTCAGTTTGCTGTATAACACCTAGCAATATTTTGAGCTGTAGAAATCAAATACCAATAACATATGTAGGTAAGTAGGTATGACTGAAATCCATTTATGAATGGACACAAATCCAATTGAAGCAAGGCTGACCAGTGGCATTCTCACCTGCCTTTATTGACATACAAAAGTCACTATGCCCATCGGAAATCAGAGTTCATGTTTGATATTCAAATGCATTTCATAACTCAAACAGCTTTGAAATTATTTCTATTAGAGCACTTCATGGGCCGGATAAATCCGTTATCCACGGATAAATCCGCGGACCGGATAGGATTGGATTCTAAATTTGTTAAAAAAGAACGGATATGGGCGGGCCGGATTTGGGAATTGAAGGTTGAACCCGGATCAAAACGGATCAAAATTTTAACATTCAACATTGAAGTTAAAAATTAACCTAATGTGTTAAGCGGCAGCAGAGGTTTGATTAAAGAAATAGGCATCATTTTATGACACTCACTTGTCATAAGACTTGTATGGCTGTCTGGTCCCTTAGATTGAATTTGTTAGTCCAGTTTTGGGTGAAACCAGTTATTGGTGAAACGGATTATTACGGATATTTTTTGGAAGTTTGGCTGCAATACGGGCCATGGGTGGGCCGGATTCTGATATTCAAAGAAAGGCGGATAATGGGCGGATCTGGATATGACTTGCCGGATATGGGCCGGGCCGGATCCTAAAAAGCCTATCCGTGAAGTGCTCTAATTTCTATCACGGCCAGAAGACAACTCATAAAACCAACATGCCCTTGCATAAATCCATAAAGCTAAAAATGAATCCAAAACATTCTCCAGAAACCGTAGTATTGATCAGATTTTTAGCCAACTGGCGCCGCATGGTGGCGCTAGCAGAGCGTATTATACATATAGCGCTCTACTAGCGCCATCATACGGCAGCAGCTGGCAAAAAACGGAGTCAATACCAATACCCTTCTCCAAGGCCAATGATTCCGTGTTGATGTGAAAATGGCACATTTGAGCGCCATATATGCCATGCCTTACGCACGCTAATCTACTGCATAAAGGTTACAATTTTGGAACACGTTCGGGAAGAAATCAGATAAGTCTCAGAACCCTTGGTAGTTATTCTATATCTAGGTACTAACAAAAATGTAGTTTGTTTTCTACGTTAATAAATTGGCACTTAAGTCATGATCGTAACCTTGCAGTACTTTGACTTATAAGTTTGTTGCCATTACGATTTTGCAGTACTTTAACCCAAACAAGATTTTGCAGTAATTTAACGCCTGTTTTGTCCTTGCATTGCTATCGTGTCCAATCGTGTCGACATTTCTGGCGGACCTCACAAAGTTTTGATGTTTCTATTTTGATTTTGAATGTTTTCTCGTTTGGGGCCTTGGATAGTTGATAAAATTTGTAAGGACTACTGAATTTAATTCTAAAAACGAATATATTTTACCAAGAATATTAGAAAAGGTATGTATCAGTATGGTTATCTTGTTCCATGTTGGTGTTAGGTTCTGACTCTGGTGAAGGCACTGCTCCATGGATCCCCAGTTCACATCATTTTTAGCAGCTGTAGTAAAAGTGGCTTAGGTTAGCATGAAATTCATTGGTCTACTTACTTCTTATATTCTTAAATATGACCTGAATCTGGTTCTAAAATAGAAACTGTGAAGCGAAGTGAAATGACCATGGCATGAGTTTTTTACTTTGCAACACAAGTTATGCCCAATTGGAAAGAAACTATTTTCTTCTTGCTTTACCTACAACTGTACACAATTTTCATAATGAATTTCGGGAACGGGTCCATCTGGTTCCAACGCTGACCTAGACCGGGTCTGACCGGTTCCAGAAATGTGCCAGTCAGACCGGGTCCGGGTCCGGGTCCCAAAATTTTCCAGTTTTGCCACCTCTAATGGTAAGTCATTAACGTATAAGCTAAAAAGTAGCGGGGATAAAATGCCGCCTTCAGGGGTGCCAGAGATAACAGATGTCCATTCTGACGTTTTCCCATTCAGAACTACACGCTGTGTGCGGTATTGCATTCAGTAAGCGACCATACATGCAATAAAAACAGTGGGTTCTCGAGAGTAACTTTACGGAATTGAGTGAATGTTGATACGATGTTCAGCACGTAGGAGCGCAGTTAGATCGAGCGTTACGGTTCAAGGCGGACATGAGGACAGGTGGCGCCGCCGCCGCCCGCATAGCGGCCGGAATGTGAACTAACCTGTTTACCATAGGGACTGTGAACGGCCGCCGTCGGCACCATTTCGGGCTTGGTTTTGACTTTGCAGCGCAATAAAAGGCTTATTTATAATTAAAAATGGACTAGCGAGAGTCGTTATGGAATCATAATTTGATGCTCTACAAAACTAGGCTATTTTCATTGTGATGGCGGATACATGTCCACAGTGATGAGCCTATGCTCTCAATTGTAACGAATCCATGACAGATGTAAAATGACGATAATAACTCAAGTTTATTGTACAAGACAAAGCTTTCGATACATAAAGTATCTTGATTACTGTCAATATCACTGTCTTGATCATCTGTCTAGAGGGACAGCATTACCTATGTCTCGATCATATCGATCACTGTCTTGATCACATCGACAGTGATCAAGATACTTTATGTATCGAAAGCTTTGTCTTGTAC